ATAGGAGGATGAGATAGATATATATAATAGAGAAGGAATAACGATAAGTGTTTTACTCTTCTTGTATATCTAAACCCTAAACCCTAAACCCTAAACCCTAAACCCTAAACCCTGAAACCCAAACTGGTCGTAAACCCTCAAAAAGAAGCGCTTCTCCGCCCAACCCCCCAAACCCTAAACCCTAAACCCTAAACCCTAAACCCTAAACCCTCGATACCTTTGGGGAATTCCCCAGAAGGAAATATATCCTCCATTGGTTTTGTTGGTGGTTCTGTCTGCAGCGAGGGTTTAGCCTCAGGCCAGCTGCCTATACACCTCAGCATAGAGTTGTCTTGAGCGGGTATAAACCCTAAACTTTTTGCTGCTGCTCCTGCTGCTGCTGCTGCTGCTGCTGCTGCTGCAGCAGCAGAGCTCTTCTTCTTCTTTTTCTTTTTTTTCTTTGCTGCTTTTGCTGCTGCATCACCCCCGCCATCCTCTGCTGCTGCTGCTCCTGCTGCTGCTGCTGCTGCTGCAGCACCGTCGTCACCAGACTCCTCCCCTTCGCTTTCAACCGCCTCCTGAGCAAACCACAAACCCTAAACCCTAAACCCTAAACCCTAAACCCTAAACCCTAAACCCTAGCTAGCAAGTTCTTACCTTCGTGGGCTCCGGCTCCACGTCCAGGCGCTTCTCATCCTGCACCAAACTTCCCGGCATTCTGCTGAGGGTTTAGGGTTTAGGGTTTAGGGTTTAGGGTTTGAGCTGAACTTCAGCAGCTGCAGCAGCAGCAGCAGCAGCAGCAGCAGCAGCAGCAGCACGGTTGCTGGGGCTGCACGGTGACTGGGGTGTACATACACCTCGCGGTATTTTTTTTTCTGCTGCAGAGAAAATTTATATATGTTGCTGTTGCTCAGTATTTTAATAGTTGTTGCTGCTGCTGCTGCTGCTGTTGCTGCTGCTGCTGCTGCTGCAGTGGGGCTGCAGCTGCTGCTGCCGCCGCATCGACCAGCAGCAGCAGCAACAACAGCAGCAGCAGCAGCAGCAGCAGCAGCAGCAGCAGCAAAGAAGATAAATTAAATAGAAGTTTGTTTAGTTTCTTTTTTATTATTATTTATTTATACAGCAATTCCGAGTTGTGGGGTAATCTGCTGCTGCAGCATATCTACAGTGATAGTACCAGCAGCAGCAGCAGCAGCAATAGCAGCAGCAGCAACAGCAGCAGCAGCAGCAGCAGCAGCAACAGCAGCAGCTGTATATACAGCACACAGTTGACTTGCTGCTGCAGCAGCAAGACACACAAATTATATTTCGTTAGCAGCATAAAGGTTGTTAGTTACAGCAGCTGAATATACAGCAGACAGCGCTAGCAGCAGCAGCAGCAGCAGCAGCAGCAGCAGCAGCAGCAGCGGCAACAGCAGCAGCAGCAGCACAAGCTGCAGCAGCAGCAGCACAAGCTGCTGCTGCACTTATAGTAAAACTGACAGCAGCAGCAAAACATCGACAGCAGCAACAACCGAAGAAGAGCAGCAGATACATAGTAGGACACCACAATACGCGCAACAGCAGCAGCAGCAGCAGCAGCAGCAGCAACTGCAGCAGCAACAGCAGCATCTGCAGCAGCAGCGGCAGCAGCAAATTCATTGACTTCCAGCAGCATTAGCAGCAAGTGCTTCTGCTGCTG